CCCCGTCTCACACCGCCCCGTTCCGCCACCCGCTCACAGCACGCCAGCAAAAGGCGCGTCGCTCGTTACTCACACCAGCAACAACAACAACAATAAGGATAACAACAACAAGTGCAGCTGCTGTTTTCCTTTGGGGCCTGGTCGTTGTCGTTGCCTTCGTTGCTGTTTTTGTCGACACTTTTTCACGGTTTGCTCGCTTGGTTGCTCTTTCGTATTCACCCACGCCCCCTGACCCAATGCCAACAGCCCCGCCCTCTCTGCCACCAACCATCGCCCAATGCCCAACTCTGTGTGGCTGTGGCTCTTGCTCGTTTTTCATCAGACGCGCGTTTGCTCGTTCGTTGAGCTTTGGCTGCTTTGCGTCGTTCTGGCCCTCGTCCCCCAGCCCCCCAGCCCTCTGCTCGTGTCGGTACTGCCCTGCCGTTATCCTTGTCGTCCTTTTTTGCCAGAAAATCAAAACACACGTCTCGGCGTGCGGCGCCCATCTGCATGGAATTTCCAAAGTACGTGCCACAGCCAAATGGACAGACACCCGATGGCAGCCATGAAGAAAGGCAGGCAGTGCCAATGCCTTTTTATACCCTTTAGCCAAAGGGTAAAGGAGTATATTTGGATTTTGTAAGTGTATGTAAAGGCGTGGTCGATTCTTCAAAGCAAATAATTCTTAATCAGCGGAATGCGGCTAGCCGATTAATTACGATCAATCACACATGTACGTGTGTTCGCAGGAGTCCTACTCGCGTATAATGGGTGCGGGAAAACCAATTTATTTACAAATTACTTGTAAGCCCAATGTTTTGGAGGAACATTTTTGAGAGAAAATGGAAATTGAGTTCTAGAAAACATAAACAACTATAGAAATTTCAGAAGCTAATAAAAACGCAATTTTCTTTTAATATTTGTATAAAACTTCAACAAATAAGGTAGGAACAAACGATCCATGTGCTAGTTATAGAACTTTATTTCTTACTGAATTTCGTGGTAAAATTGAAGAATAGAAATATAACTTCAAAATTAGAGCAAATAGGGACCGTATGTATCAATAAATATACCTATATAAACACTTATCCTACGAAAAACAATCTTCAATGTTATAACAACAATATATGAAATCGGTCTTACTACATATTATAAAATATGTTTTCAAACGTATGTATACTCAGAGATGACGTATACATTGATAACAATATATGTATACTATATTATGCAAAAAGTGATCATAATATTCATTCATGTTACTTCTTATCTGTTGAAAAAGTGTTTCGGTGAATAAATAATTTTAGTCACTTCTTAAAGTCAAAGCGTATATTCATACTGGCTATCTGTTACAGAGCATTTCATATTCGAACTAGTTTGACTACAGAATTTGCTCACTTTTTCTTTACTGCTGCCCCTCCCGTTATTGTTGGTTCGGTTGGCGTTGCTGTTGCTTCTGCTGCTGCGCCAGCCCCAGAGCCAACAGCTTTGGCGTCGAACACATTCATGGTTTACATAGCTAACAAACAGCCGTTGGTAGTCGCCATCGTCGTCGACTGTCTGTTTGTATGTACGGAGCCGTGGCATGCCGTGCAGAACCTTTTCTTCTTCAGTGGCGAATAAAGTGAAAAATTACACTGAAGGCAAAAATAATTGCTGTTGAAATATATAAACAGTTCGACACAATAAAGGCTTCTCTAAGATGATATATATTTCCCTCTTAAAATTATTGAAATAAAAACAAAAATAAGAACTCATTGATATAATGATTACATATTCTATGAAACTTCAATTTACATAAAGCCGCCCTAATCTATAGACTAGAAACAAAGGTTAAAATCAAAATTTGAAGTTCAGCAATAAATAAAATAAATTTTGATCTGTCAGTTGTGTCCCATTGTATTTAAATCATATAATTGAAAGCTATCTACTTGTACTTTTATTTATCTACTTATTCAGTGAAAATTCAATAGAAAGCGAAATAATTTCGATTAGTTATTACTGTTTTCTGATGGGGATTGGGAACTTTGATTATTTTTCAACGTGTAACCATAAGTGCCGTGCTGCGCTTCATTCTGTGCCGCAGAATAGCGGCAATGTGGCAAGGTCCTGACGTGGCATGCCACAGCCACGACTGCTACCATTGCTTCGCACACCAGCAACAGCAACGCATACGCAGGGCGCACATTTTAACACCCTTCAACAATAAACAGCATGTCACTTAGCTCAAACTTCAAAAGTGCGCCAGTCTCTATGTGCCTATGTGTTTGTGTGTATTTGTGTGTGCTTTAGTGTGTGTGGGAAAGGTGGGGAGTCGACAGAGTGGCGGCATGGAGAAGCATTTGACGTTGTCGGCGCAGTCATCGTCGTAGTCATCGACATCGTTATGCGAATGCCGCCGGCATGCTTCCGTGCTTTATTTGTTGGTGGCGGCGACGACGACGACGACGACGGCGATAGCATTTGCCTTATTCAGAAACAAGGGGAAGAAGAGCCAGAACCAGAAGGACGGCAAAATTTCCTCTGTGCGTGAATGTGTGTGCTTTTTGGATTGGAGTTGTGGCAGGAGGTGGACGTCGTTGATGGTAGCTGGCGATAATAAACACACGCGCAGGGGCAAGGAAATGGCACAGCACGCACAGTATGTGTGTACTTTTGTGCATGTGTCTGCGGTGATGGTGTTTGAGGGAACGAGAACGAGGCAGGATTTGCTTGTTGATATTGTCGCCATTGCAGTCACCGTGACATACAAATTATTTAACTATTTTAACTCAATCTGCAAAGAATTTTGCAATACCTTCAACTGTCTTGCTCTAGATCGGCATCAATAAGGTGCCCCAAAAAGCATGCTCTTGTTTTTGCAAACGTCCTACTTAAACGATCAAGCCGAGTGCTGCCATTATTGCCTTTGGCAATTTTACTTATGCCATGCTAAAAATGCTGAAAATTCAATTAGAGCGCACATATAAATCAAAAATATATCCAACACCTGTGCTCCACTGTAGCTGTAAGCGCTTTGATTGTCATGGCAATTCAAAAGCATTTGTCGGTCGCTCGTCTTCTCCTCGCCCCTCTCTTCCCTTCTCAGCCGTTTCACACAGCACTCGAAGCCGCAGGCACACACCAGAAGTCCCCACACACACACACTCACGCAGGCACACATACGCCCACCCATGAGCCGCACGACAGCAGCTACTTGCCACATTTGGCTTTATGCCAGGACTACCAGGACAGACTGCGTTGGCAGCTCGCTCTGGTGGGTGCGACGTGGAAGATTATCGTGTCGCTTGTTGGTGCTCTTTGTCGCCATTCCACAGTAGACAATATTTAAATAGTTTTATCCAAAATAAAACACCTACAATTATTTGAATGGACAGACATATCCATTTATTCGTCCATATAGACACCGCGAGCTTTTAATCTACAAAAGCTACGGACACCTAATTTGGTAAATATACTGGTTCTATTCAACCAGTCTAGCGCGACTATAAATTTCTATTCATTTTTTCTCAATATGTTATGTTTCTTATTAAAATTGAACAAGAAATTGCACAATTATTATATAAGAAATGTTAGTACACCCAGCATCGTTTCATAGTTTCAGTACAGATTAAATTATATTTTTTTTTAGGTATAAGTATCGTATGCCAGCTGTCCATTTTTATCGTTTCTGCTAAAATATGAAATGGTGACTTATTATTATCACCGAATCTATATGAACCCACTTACGAACTACTCTTATCTTTCTAGGGTGTGATCTATTTGCTTGATTTTTCATAAATAAGAATATTAGTTTTGCAAAAACCACATATTTATCACGAGTGAACATAGTTCAGTTTCTAAAATGGATGTCGCTGCTTCCCTGGACGTAGCCCAGGGTGGCAATACTTATGTGCGACTAATCAAAATTCTCTTTTCGTTTAAAACTAGATATAAAAATATTGAATTGTTTAAGCTGTCTATCTTGCTACTCTTATGGCGGACCCGAACAGTCATTTGAAATGCATTATAATGAAAAGCAGATCAGATCTGAGCAAATAGTAGTTGCATGGTACGAAATAGTCCGTGGGATATGCACCTCTATTGATAGAGCTATGATTGTTTTGAATGACGTATTTAAAAAAAATAATAAACATTTATTACCTTTAATTATATTTTATCAAAAGTAGCATGAAACCAAAGTAGTAGAAAAATTGGAAACCAAATGACATTTAGAAATTTAAGTGCGATATGAAGCGATACGTTAACATAAATGAATAACAAAATCATACATTTAGCAATTGCTCTTATTTTTATTTGTTAAAGGACCTCATCATTGAATTGGTGGGGTTAACAAATCCCATGATGAATGTTTGACAATTTTTATTCATCTGTCTGGAGTTTTCTTTTACTTTTATTCTTAATTTTGTCCACAGTACTTTGTCGTTCTAGTCGTACGTATGCTGCCAATGCTGCTGCTGTCGTTGTTGTTTCTATTGTTGTTTTTGTGGCTGGGCCACAAAACTCCTTCCACACTGCGCAGCCATCCCCACTGCCACTGCCACAAGCCCTCGAGCATAACGGCAACTGCTGACTGCTACTGATGGCGTTGATGATGGCAAAACGGCAATGGCTGTGCCAACAACAGCAACAACAGCAAAAAAAAAAGTTTTAAAAAAGTTGTGCGCGCGCGAGGATAACGACACGACGACGATGAGGACGAGTGGGAGGTGGAAGTGGAACGACGTTGCTACGTGCGCCTGTGTGCGACTAATTGGGTGAGAGAATGTGGGCGCTTAAATTGGTTTCGTGCTGTCGAGTGACGCGTGCGGAGGCGTGTGTAAGCTTTGTGTGCAGGCGGCTGTCGCCTCGCTGTTGCCTCGCTGTTGCCACTGCTGTTGTTGTTTCTGGCACGAATGCTTGATGGCGTGACGGCAGCCAGTTGTTGCCAACAATTCGAAAGAGCGCAGGTCGCAGGACGTTGGGCGACGATGATGACGGAAGGCAAGAAACAACAACAAAAAATACAATTTGCGTCGTGTGGATTTTATTTTTGCGTTTTTTTTATATTTTGCTCTTTTTTCGCAATTTTTTGTTAGTGCGATGCGGTGTGCGCTGGGAATTTGCGCGCTCGTGCAAGGACTTTCAGTCGTCGTCGTCGTCGTTGTCGTCGGCATCTCCTCCTCGCAACATGCCCCTTGTTTATGTCATTTTGTTTATGTCGCCTGCACGACGCTGCGCACTTTTTGAACGAGCAGTTTTAGTTTTCTTACTTGTTGGCTGCAACGCGCAGTTGTTATAGTTGTTGTAGTTGCTGTAGCTGCTATAGCTGTTGAATGGCAGCAACTGCGGCTCTGGCGCGCGTCCTTATGCCATTTTGGCTTCACTGCATTTGACTGCCGTCGGCAGTTGGTGCATGAAAATCCAAAAGCGACACTTGAAAAACACACGGCACAATCTGGCAAATCCGTCCCCCTCAGGGTGTACTAAAGAGTGCTGAAAAGTGTGAGTGTGTGGGAGGTTGTGGGAGCTTCGGCAAGTGTTGGCACGCCAGATCGCATTTCGACTAATGTTAATGTCTCGCGGGCGATACGTTTGCAGCCACAGCCCTACTAGTTATCGAACGTCGCGCTTCATCCAGCACTTCTGAACACTGCACCACAATCACCATATAGTTGCCCTCTTGAGCCACCAATATCTCGTGCTTCTGTGTGCGTAATCGTATATAGCCGAGATCATTTCCAGAATCTATATCCCTCACCATACTGCGCGCCATGTGAATAAGTTGGCCCATTCGGCCAGCATAGAGCATACTGACTGAGGCATCGAGCGACGTCTTTACTGGGTTGCCATTACTATCCACCAATATAGCGCCTATAATGCCTGGCAATTTCATCAAACGCTGAAATATTGCTTCCACATTGTTCGACGACGCCGACGACGACATGTCAAATTTTTAAAATTTTCCAAGACTTTTATATACGTTTCTCTTTGACTATCTATGAAAAGGGCGTTGATACTTGTATATATTTCGACACCAACCATGATAGTTATATACTCGCAGTCCACAATTAATTGGTATTTCATCATAACACGAACAAAACTACTGTCAAGTCAAGTACCACACATACTCGTATATAAAAACCAAAACACCAAGGTCAATACTTTAGATTGCTAAAGATGGAAGACTTATAAGAGAAAGCCCGATAGAGTATGATGGCAAAGATTACACGAAAACTTTTTAAACGCCATTATTTTAAAAAGAAACACACTAAACTTCTCTTGAAATATTTTCATAGCCTACTTTTAAGAGTTTAGCTAAATCGAAACTGCTTTGAAGAGTTGCTTAGTATAAGCTGCTAAGATAATAAACGCAACTATTGAAGCTGAAGTCTTCAAAGAGCCAGCGGAGAAAACCAAAAACGAACGGATCAGGATATGATGTATACCTTGTCTTATTAACCACTCTATTTAATTTTATTCATAGTGGGTAAATGCCTTTTACAATTCACTTACCGAGCAAGCGTGCAAGAAATTTAAAGACTGGGGAGAAACCAGATAGGTAGTTCCGTAAAATAAACTAGCCCATGGGGGTGCACAAATTTGAGTGTTCAGTAATAGGAGCAAGCGTTGGGAACTCTAAAATTAGAACTGCTTATTTCCATTCCATTATTATTCTAAGAATTATAAGAAAAATAATAATTATAAAGCCGTTCAATAGCAGCCAACAAAATCAATAATAAGTTACTAGAAAACATTGAATGCAATTCTGTCTTGCGTGTTTTTAACAAATAAATAAAATACCCTCCTAACAGCTATAAAGAATGGCGCAAATTCGGTGAATCCGCTGACATTATTTTGACTTCTAATGCCCTGGAAGTGTGGCCACGTGTGTTTGTTTGCTTGTTTGTGTGCGTGCGTGCATTTAAGTGCCATCATGTCATGTTGTCCCTTAAACCATTTTTCTGGTGGTGTGATTGTATTTTTAAGGTAAAGTTTGTGGCAAGCAGCAGCGCTCATTGCAGCCACTTAGCCCACACATCATCCATGTCCTCCCATATGAATTATCCTTGGAAGCGCGTGGCTGCCTGTCAGCCGCTGGTGTCGTGGCAAGGATAAAGCGCAAAAGCGAAGAGAAAAAAGGAGGGATATAATTCGCCACAGGATGTCTGTTTAACTTCGGCCAAACTCAGCAGCATGGGTGGACGTGGACAGCCTTCAAGCCCACACATCCAGACCCAAACCAAAAACCCAAGGGACCAAGGTATGCGGGTGACAAAGGGCAGAAGTAGGGACAGAGGCAAAGGCAGAACATGACGAAATGCAGCGTGTGTACGTATGCATGTGTGTGTGTATTTGCTGCCGTCACGGTTCACTAGACGCGTTTGGAGCTACACTTGGCTGGACTTGCTACTTGACTTATTGCGGAGGGTTTTTGGGAGCACAACAGACTGCCTGCCAACTTTGTACGTCTTGTCTGGCTCTCTGCATGTATGTGCGTCCTTATGTGTGCAACTTATACGGCGCATACATACAGATATATCTGCACGACAAGAAGGTCGACAACGTTTACAGTGGGCTAATTAATATAATTCCACCGAACTCTACACAACAATATTTCAAGATCAAGTTTATATAGCTTTGTAAAAATAAAATGGGCCATTGTTTTGTATCGTCGTGATACCACATATGTCCTTATAAAACCGAAGTAAGGGTTTTTGTATGTCATTATACCAATCGGTGTAAAAATCAAAAAACTTGTCTATCTGCATTTCAGAACAGGGTGAATACAGGATATTCAAAAATCGTGACAAGCACGACGTTTTTTAATTATTATTGACTATTGTTCTAGACTTCTTCGAGTTTAGTGAAATGTTTTTTACCCAGTGTTTACAAAATGAAATACAAGTAGTTCCACTGTGCGGCGTCATGCCAGTTGTTGTTTTCGTAGCTGCAACTGCACGCTTGACTTGTAAAACTAACCCACACACAAACACCAATACCTCAGGAATATAGAAGAAGCCGCCCCCATCCTACTAAAGACATACAGAACCCACGTAAAATGCCGTCGTGCGGCACACACACAGGACGCAGGACAACCATCTCAGGCAGGCAGGCGGAAGGGACAGCAGCACGTTGAGGCAGCAGCAAGTCATGGTTGATACGAACAACATGCGGTGGGTGGGGAGGGACACGTAAATAGCGTTGAATTACAGCCTGACAAACTGGGCGTTGAAGTCTCGAACTCAAAAGTTATGTCTGCCGTGGGTACGTGCGTGTATGTGTATCGGTGTGTATCACTGCCTCCCTTTTTGCTTATGTCCGTGTGTGTGTATGTATATTTGTGCCTGTGCATCATTTATAAGCCACGCCAGGCCACAGATTGTCTCGACGGCTTGGTTGACAGCGGCAGTAGCTTGAGGAGCACGAGCAGCTCAGCGGCAAAGCACGCACGCAGTGAAGCTGATGATGAGCGTGCTGGCAAAAAAAAAAAAAAAACTTTACGGCAATGGGTTTTGGGGTGTCACGTGCGCGACCAGGCAGCAGGCTCCCTGTTTCTTGCTTCGTTTGTTCATGTTGCTGGCTGTATAATTCATGTACCGCAGTTGAAGTGCAGAGCAATTTATTCAATAATTCGCCGTATAAGGTTAATACGCAAAGCCAAAGGCAGCCGCCCAGCCAGTCGCATTGAGCGATAAACTCGACTTTGGAGCGCCCATGGAGGGGGGATGAGGTCTAAAACAGGCAGCCAGTTTTTTTTTTTTGCTTTGCCGGTCCGTCCTTCACTCTGGATGGTGGGGTGAGGATGGAGCTAGAAGCGTTTGGTTTTATGTTTGGTGACGCATAACAGCCTCCATGCCTTCGTGTGATCGTTTTTCCAGACACAGGAAAACTTTATGAATTATGTGCAGAGTTGGCGGCGTTTGGCAACATTAGACATGTAGCAGGTGAAGTGCCGTTAATTGTTTTTTTAACTATTAGGCGGTCATGGCAATGGCATGAAGACAGAGAAATAATTCTCAGTTCTTTACTCACTCGCATATTTAAACAACAGCTCGAGACTATTGAAAAGAAATTTTCGTACGGCTTTCCTCAAATTCAAATAACTTTAAAATATCGATTAAGACTTAAAACTTGAAGTACCTGTTGACTATTGCTAGTTTATGTAGTTACCAAGCGTGGAAACTACGGTTATAGGTAATGTTCAAATCAGTTATGGACAGCGCAGTTTTGTTGACAATTTAAAAAAACAATCCCCCAAAGGAGTAAAAAGAAAAGAGGCGTCCAGTCCCATTGCTGAAACTTAATTTAAGTTTCAGAACTAATTGAACTATGTATCTGTTTGCTGGCAATATCGTCGTAAACAAAAGCGTTGTTAGACTAAGAGTAATCTTCCACCGTTTTTATTGCAACTATATAACTTAATGAATTTCGTCTAAAAGAATTATTAAAGTATTCTCTATTCAATCATTAAATGACACACGAATTATTCATCTTACGAAAATTGGAATATAAATATTATGAACTTTGTTGCAAATCTCACAACTAATCTTTTAAAAAGCTGAATACCCGCCAAGTGCTGATTAATTTTAGGCGAGATGCCAACTCATCCTAAATGCCAGCTGTTTGAAAAACCCATGAAGTTATATAGCAATGAGCAATGTATGTATTCGAAGATAAGTGGTGGTATTCCTGCACCTTATTTTAATTTGAATTATGTACAATATTCTTTTAATTCTTATTCAACGTAATCAAACTTATATATGTAAAAATGTAAGAGAAAAAATACTGGCGATAGTACCTAATAAAATTTTAAATATTTCCTGGAACTTCGAAATCTTACACATAAAAATGGAAGTATGTATGTAGTTCCAATTTTTCAAACCCGCTTCTTGCTCATCTACACTATAATAGAAAAATTGAGTCTGAATTTCATGATCGACAATGGAATATGAAACACGGCACTCGTGTCAATGCAGGGCAGCGATGTGCCACGAACAAGAAGTACCGCCTATGCCCATCTCTAACTAGTTGTGTTTGCGAGTGTGTGTATGCCATACACTGTATGGGTTTGTCCCCAACTGTTTGATATTTTGTGCCGTTTGTTGTTGCTGTGTCACATAAGCAGAACTTAAATGAATCGGACGTAATTTATAACACTGACTTTTCATTTGAAAAAAGTTAACAAATGTTAAAGCGCCAATAATTTACATTCCGCAGCATTTTTTGTATTCTTAATAGGTTTGAAACCCAAGTTAGAACTTCATAGGTAAAATAATACCAATTTTTCAAACAAACTTTGCAGTCAGTTTTTCCCGCTTTGAAGCTGGAATTTTTAAAAACTGATTCTTAGTGCTCACCCTATGGAAAGATACTTGAGTCGAAATTCCAGCCTCTACATTGATCACTAGCCAGGAAAAATTGTTTTATATATGTATGTACATGTGCGCTAGTGCATATAGACATGTATGTACGCATGCAACAAACAAGATCAATTTCAAAAAAGGGAGTCATAAAAAAAACCATAAAAAATGATCAATACAACCGTGCTTACCTTGACAATAACTATTTTTAGGTTCATATAAGTCCGCATCTTCTATACAAATTAACGTCACAATTCTTTTGAGTTTATTGGCCCTTTTAACAATCACAAACGCGCGGCGACATCGTCATATTGTTATCGAAACATTACAGTGCTCTCCAACACTTATACACAGTGTTTTTCGCTGTCTCTCTTCAGAGTTGGCGTCGTCACTTTCGAACTTATTACTCAGTCGTTTCGTGTGCTTCTTTGCGTAAGAATAAACGGGCAGCAATTTCGTTATTATTTTGCCGTCTCATGCGTAGTTTTTGTGCTGGAATTTGTTAGAGAAAGAAAAAACAATAATAAAGAGTTTCTTTCATTCCAAACAAAATAAAGTGGACAATAATTTCGTTGCCGGTTGCGCATTGCGCTGACACCGCACAAAGAATTACTGTGGCATTATATGAACATTGAGTTACAATTTTACGCTGTGTGCTATCTGGTGTTAAAAGTATCCGAAACATTTGCTGTTGGTTGCGTAAAAGGTAAAACCAAATTTAAACCAGGCACATGATATGCTCAGAAATTTGTTTAACATCTACGTATATATATAAGAAATGTATCCAGACGAATGGCAGTAACATACAATTGTGTGTATATTTATGGAATTTATGGTTTATTAAAAATAAAGTGTTACATTTCTATTGAGTACACATTTTTTGTCTCATCGTCGCCATTTTTAATCGTCCGTTTTCGACTCGCGTGCGTGTGTGAAATGGCGTATGTGCTCATAGTGTTATCCCATTCTCACAATATCTGATAGTGCTGTAAAACGGGCACAGTAATAAATGATTAAATTTCATATTGTTCAGCGAAATATTTAATTATTCAAATACTATATCACGTATTTTAGAGGACTGCGCATATAATGGAGGACCTCACCAAGAATATAATATTTACAACGAATGCCATTAATGGGCAGCCGGCAACCATACAGTATCAAACAGCAGATGGCACCATACTGAAACAACCGAAGATTGAGGGTCAGAAAGCTGAACAGCCTACTTTCTACTACACAACAAATGTAAGTTTATGAGCTCATAAGCAATATGCTTAGTCCTTACACATCTATTTATACTACAGGGCAACGCCGCCACTGTCAACTTGGCACAGCTTGCCACAACAGATGACAACAAGACTTGCTATATAGCACAGCCCGTGGGTGGATACAACTATGCTCTTGTCAATGGTATGCCGCTTAACCAGGGCACCGCTTTGGGCATAGCCACAGTAGATGCACAGGGTCGCATACAGATTGTAAATCAAAATAAGCCCATAGCAGCGGTAAGTGCATGTAATCTTAGCCACAGATCTGCAACCACCACCTTAAGCAGTCTTTCTCCACACATCCACAGACTATATCGCCGCTGCAGAACACAATATCCAATATTAGTTTCAAGTGCGATGTCTGTGCGGCCATGTTTCCACATTTAGCGCTCCTCAACGCCCACAAGCGTACCCATACTGACGGCACGGATCAACAGCAGCAGCACAACGCTCAGCAACAGGACGCTATAACGGTAGTGAACGCGCAGGGTCTGGTGCAAACACAGAACATTATAACTGAGAATGGCCAAATGGGCCAGATACAAATTGTGTCTTCCGATGCACTCGAGCCAGTTCAGCAATCTGTGATGCAGCAACAACAGCTTCAACAGGCTCCACAGCAGCAGCAGCACGACTCGGGAAACCAAAAGGGTATGCATACCAGTAAGTGCATCAGTTGCGGTAATGCCATAATGCAGCAATCAAAGCGCAAAGGCCAGAAACAAGTGCGTTGCGAGACCTGCATGCAAAATGAACAGGCGGGGCAGCAACAGCAACAACAGCAGCAACAGATTTTTGTCACACCCGATGGTGAGTAGAAATGGGAATGGCGAATTATACGTTATTAAATGTACTTTTTGCAGGTTCAATGGCACACCCTGTCCAAATCATATCAACCACACCGCAAGCGCAAGCGCAGCTGCAACAGATTGTGGCACAACAGACTGGCACCACAGGCACCACACCCAAACGTGAAACAACAACAACACCAGCTGGCCATCATCCTGTCAAGAAACGCAATTCCCAGCAGCTGACAAAATGCCAAAAGTGCAATGGGTCCGGGGTTGTTATGGTCGGCCAACAGCAACCGCAGCAGACGCATAACGCGGGCACATCCGTCAAGCAATCACCAGTGACTGTGAAATCAGAGTAAGTGCTGCCACCTGCAGCAGCAGGTCCAAAATACAGAGTCAAAGACTAATTAAATTTAACACACAGGAATCCAAACAAACCACATGTCTGCAACATTTGCGGAGGCCTCTTCTCCCGTTATTCCAGTTTGTGGTCGCACAAAAAGCTACACAGTGGTGAAAAGAACTATAAGTGCACAATCTGCGGATTGGCCTTTGCTAAAGCAGTCTATCTGAAGAATCATGCGCGCATACATACTGGTGAAAAGCCTTACAAGTATGTGCAACTTTTCGAATGTAAAACAGCTTTTTTGTTTCGGCACACATTGCTTTCTTAAATATTGTTCGAATGAAAAATATGATGTTGATGTTCTTTAATTGCCTTAATAGTTTTGCATAGTGTTATGGAACTTGCGCTTATACACTTTATATTTTCAGATGTCAAACGTGTGGCATGCAGTTCTCACAGTCGCCGCATCTCAAGAATCACGAACGGACCCACAGCGGCGAACGTCCATATGTGTGTGGTGTGTGTGATAAGGGCTTTGCCCGTCATGCCACGCTCTGGAACCATAGACGTATTCATACTGGTGAAAAGCCTTACAAGTGTGAAATATGCGGCTCAGCATTCTCACAGGCGGCTCATCTCAAGAACCACGCCAAGGTGCACTCTGGCGAAAAACCATACAAATGTGAAATCTGCTCAGCCGCCTTTGCTGATCGCTTTGCACTTAAGCGTCATCGCGGCATACATCAGAAATACGGACAGACTGCGCCACGGCAACCCGCCGGAACCGATAGCATGGTGGTACACAAGCAGGAACTCCCCGATATGGATGACGATGCGCAGACGGAGGTTATCATCGGAGGCTTATAGATAAGAGCAACAAACGCTAACAGCAATGCAAAAACGTCGACAACAACCACAACGCACCCCAGTGCAGAGTATTCAAATCAGCAACAGCAGTACGGGCCGCAAAATTATCAGCAGACAGCTGGAGGATACTACTACCAGTCCCAATCCCAACAACAGCTGCATTGCGGCGACACCGCATTCAATGCAACGACGCCCTATTGAGATATAGAGAGCATGCAAATTATTAAATGTAAATAATCTGGCATGATGGATCGTATTAGCATTACTATTTAGGACACAAATAAGGATAAACATATAGATTTCCGTTCTTTTTCGTAGGTATAATTTTTTAAGATCCACGAATTTGGGTAATATTTTTGAAAAAATATAATCCTAACAATGCTATTTGTTTCTGTAAACAAACGAAAATAACATAATTTATTCATACAATGTAAATTAGCAATTTTCCCGAATTATGTCTAAGTGTTATAGCATATTTCGATAAATTAAAATAGACCCATAATTACACGAAAATAGCGGTTAGTGGGCGGGGCAGCACAGCATCTAAATTACGTTCGTTAGAATGTGTAAGGGCACATAACTGCATAATTAAACCCTTGCGTTTGCAAAACAATATTAGTATTAAGTGCGAACAGTTTAAATACAATTTATATGTACATATAAATAAGTATTATAACAACATAACTTAAACAAATAAATGCATATTTGAATACAAATTCGATCCTTTTTTCTTGGGAATATATAAATAAAACTTATTGAGCCGAAAGAAAGGAATGCTAAAGCCAACCGAGCTGAACTCTTAAATACCCTGTACCACCCCGCAAAAAAATAATTAACAGCATACATTTACATCAGAATGATGTGTATGCGTGTAAAGAAATAAATGCTTGTATACAGTAAAGAAATAAATCAAAGCAGCAACCACAGTTGCCGGCAGAGCTTGGGCATATATATTTATGGCTTCAACTTTCTACCTAATCAACCTATCAATGAAACTTGGCATACGGACACACAAGCACTAACTGGATGTACATTTCAATATTCGAAGAATTACAGAAGTTATAAAAAAATCCAAAATAGCGGTGGAGTGGGAGAATAAAAAAACAAACTTGACCTGCCTAGGGCTTATGGACACCTGGATACCAAGTTTGGTAACTATAGCTCTTGTAACTCCAGAGATCCATGCGCTCGTCCAGACGGACGGACAGACGTAAATCGATTTGACTTGTCATCCAGATCAAAAATATATATACTTTGTTGGGTCTGTTACATACATTCGCACAAAACTAGTATACCCTTTCACCCTTTGGGCACAGGGTATAAATACCCATACTTTTAAATGTCGATTTTTATCAAAAATAATAATTTTATAATTAACATTTTATATTCATTATAATATAAAAGGATACTTAAGTCGTTAAAAAATTAAGACTTACCTGATTTCACTCTTCTTCCCAAACTGATTAATATTTGCGTTCACATAAATGGATAGTTAAATTTCATAAGCCAATGTATTCCTCCAGTATAGTGCACTGCTGCCCAAAATTACAAACATCCTCAAAATATGTGCTGATGTCAACACCGAGATGACCATTAAAAGACAAGATTTTGTAAAATTAAAGAAACATTTATGACATATTGGCAATTGTAAATAATACAATTGATTTCCATTTTTATTTCTTTCAAACTACCAATAGAAACTGCTGTTGTTTAGGCCTCAGTCTCAGACTGGAGCTTAGCCACATAGGCGGCCTTATGTGCGGCAATCTTAGTCTTGCGCTGCTCGTTCGTGAGTTTCTTGGCATTCCACCTCTTCTTCGAAGCACCAGACTTTGGAGCGGCAGCCGTGTGGCCTGGGTCGTTGCGAATGGCCTGGTGGGCTTTCTTGTAGATATCCTCAATCTGGAATTGAAATAAACATTTATTAAGGTTAGCTAACCCAATGAAAACAGCCGTTCAATTGTAAGTAATTAAAAGTAATGTGAAACCATAACAGGAAGCGCAAACCAATAAACGGAATGAGCTTCGAACTTAGGTCTACGAGCTTTAATGTGGTCCACAGATGGCACAGCCGCATTTAGAATAGAAATTGCAGCGGTAATTTTGAAAGTGGACGTGACAATCATTTGCGCACAATACTTACATCATCAGCACGGATGCCCAGCTTTATATAACGGCTGAACTGGCGCTTGAAGCTCTCCTCATCCTCCTCCTCCAAGGTACGCATGTAGTCAGCAACATGCTGACCGAAAATGTGAGCGCGATGGACGTCAGCATTGAAACTCTTGGTCTCAGCGGAATAGCCGGGGAAACGCTTCACCGAGTGTGGGATGTTCAAACCACCATCGACAGCGCCCTTCATGGCGCCAAAGACACGGGCACCGGTTGTGGTGCGCGCCAAACCGACATCCAAGTAACAACGGAATGCACCTGGACCTTCATCGACAGGCTCAACGTTGTATTCCTCGCCAGTAACCTCAGTGCAGCCGGCGTATAGTGAGTCCAATCCCAACTTGTTAAGCACACGACGAGCCACCAAAAGGCCAGTGCAATAGGCAGCGGCGTAGTTGGTTAAACCGACCTACATTTTTGGTGTTTTAAATTGAGTATTTATTCACTCGTTATTAAATTGTCAAGTATTATTATATTCACGACTGCTCACCTTGATGCCATATTTCGGCAACTCATGGGAGTAGGCAGCGCACACAACGCGGTCACCTTCAATGCGAGCATAGGCAATCTGCACGGTAATGTCCTTGTTGGACAAACGCACAATCAGGCGGTACTTGGGAGTGTTGTACTTGTTCTTGTCCTGGAAAGTCAGACGCTTCCTGGCATAGTAATCGGTCTTGCCCTCACGACGCCTGCGGAATTTAACTTGATACCGCTTGAAGTACTGCTTGTTCTTGACTACCTTGACGAAACCCTGCAAACACCATTGAGAAAAACATATATTGTGGAGGACGGGCTCGGGTACTGAACGAAACTAAAGTTTTAAATCGGCAATTCGCAAGCCCATCTGATGCTGTTTTCGGAAACTATTGCTCTGAACAACATGCACATAAACGAAATTATGCGTTTTTTCTACTATATCGCTTTTATTACCCACCATTTCTCACTTTCTATTGATTATACGCGACACCGACGGTAAAACGCGATGTTTTCCCACGTAGGTTAGGAAGAAAAAGAGATGGCAATGGTCTAGCGCAGGGAAGGCCAACGATAACAAAATTAGTACACATTAATTCTAAGACATTTCCGAACTAAAAACGGTCACACTCACACTAACTAGCAGAGTTGTTTTCAATTCGACTGCTGTTTATTTCGATGCATCGTTTTTTTTTTAAATACCCATCGGTGGACATCCAAATTGATGTTTTCGGTCCGACTTACATCCCTACTGATATTTTTAGGGTAATTATTTTTTTAAAAGTTGCATTCAAAAGCATAATAATATAATAAAATTAGTTTTCAATTTTTTAATATTGTATTGCGTATTTTATCATATGCTCTATGTAATGTTTCCAAATATACTGGAATATTTGTTTTTATCCCTTCTTTACCTGGTGATTGTGTGCCATAAAATTTCTCAATGTCGCATTGCAATTCCTGAAAAGGTGTTATAGAAAGTAAATTGATTAAAAATATATCACAAACCAGCTTATGACACAGCATAGCATACCGTGATCTGTTGATTTAAGTTCATATCTTCTGCCCCATTTGTGCACTTGATCTCATTTAACACCAGATGTAGCTTAAAATAATATATAGCCGGAGCATTCATACTTTGCAAAGTGAAGATACAGGTGTCGTAATTATCAGTGGAAGTAATGATAAGCTTCGTATCAATAAAATAAATATCATTGACACTATCCTGGGACTCACTTTCACCATCGAAGGCAGCGAATATTCCGTCAAACTTTGTGTTCTCGGGTACTTGCATTTTGTGGGTAATCATCAAGTTGCCTGTTCTTTTGGGTTGGTTTGGAATAATATCTGCGACAGTGGGTTCATTAAATATATTAAAAGAAGAGTGATGGAAACTAAATAATCGACAGTAAGTTTCGCTCGTCTTTTTCACTTCAACTGGAATTGTGATAGCACAGATCTGTGAGTGCAACTCCACAAACGCCACAAGCTTCATTGTGAACTCAGGCAGTTTTTCGTTTAAGGCATTATGCAAGGATATCAAGATACAGCAATCCCTATCAATCAGCAGCTGTGGTGAAACACAAATTACATAAGCTTGCTCCTCCTGATAGACTACTAGCTGCCATTGATTGCTGCACAGTAGTTGCTGAGGTTCGTTCACCTTGAGTCGAAGTGTGACATAGATGCCGCTGCTATCTATTTCGGCTTTTCGGACCGTATGCAGAATTACTGTATTCTTATCGTTCCGGGGCAGATAGCGCATATACATCAGTGATGCCTCTAAGAGAGGTAAGCTGCCCTTTTTCTTGCGCGCAATAGCCAACAATCGCTGATTTTCAAGCTCAGCCTTGGTTGGCTGTCGCAAACGTTCTGGCTGCTGCTCGAAGAGTGCCAACGCATGTGCGTCCTTTAACAGACTTTCAAGAAACGAAGGCGTCAGATCTTTTAGGATGTCGCCATGTGCGTTATTCTTGGTGTGCTTGCTAAATCCTATTCGATAAAATATATTGTTTTCGCTGAGACACACAAGTTGCTCTGAATGCTGCACATATGTGCACGCCACCATGCCCGGTATGGATTTGGCGCAACGGTGCGTTCGACAACTATCCGTTAGCTCATCATATTCGTATCGGAGACGCACAATTTGTTCTCCATCAGTATAGTAGAAATCACCATTATCGCTACTGCCATCAAAATCCAGCCATTTGGCACCGACAAAGTACATACGACGCTGTTTTAAGCCCGTTAGCTTGGAGACAAACCACATGTCAACGCTGCCGCAGCTCAGGTAGACTAAACAGAGATTACTTTTCGGAAATATGCGTACAAAATCAACAGATGCTGCATAGGTGCATTGCATTTCTATGAGATAATGAGGATCGGCGTCTGGATCCTGTGGCAGTAGAGCAAAGACTTGTCCAGCTATGCTAAAAATGTGCAGCTGTTCTCCAATAGTAGCCACACCAAATAGCTTCAGCATGAAATCATGATCCTCCTGGGTGACTGTGAGCGTTGTAATCGTTGTTCGATCGTTTTTCCAGTCACAATTAAATATGTTCTGATCATCGTAGGTAATGTCAAAACTGCTCAGCACAGTACTCTCGCCCTTATCAAAGCTTGGTACATCTGCATAGGTCTCCAGAAACAGTCGTTGCTTGATTTCGTCGTGACGAATCACACTGAAACCATTCTCGTTTCGGGAAAAACAACGCACGCCACTGAGCCAGGGAACAATGTGTAGGGATTTTATAGAGCCATAGCAATAAATATGCCCGTCTGACATTAGTAACAGGCTGTTGTAATTAAGGATACACATAGCTTGCAAATATCTGCGTCCGTTGGTTGGCAACGGAACCCGGACCTTTATCATGTCTACGTTCTCTCCCCTTTTGGAATTTCTGAGGCGAAAATTAAGCAGGTAATACTCGTTCCAGACGACAAACACAGACTTTCCGGCGCCATCACTGTGATTTATGAGCCCGCATGGCTGGAAAAGTGTATCATCCTCTATAGACCACACTGGATACCTTTCGTTTGCGTGTTCAGAAACTTTTGAATTTTCTTCTTTTTTGTAAATTTTGTTCAAGCATCCATCTTGCTTCGCGCTTTCAAGTTCCAAAAACTGTGTATTAAAAGATTGGTTGTCCATGACGTGCAGACCCTATTTATAATCGGTCCCATAAACAATATATGTATGTATGTTGTATATAAAATAAAAACCAACTAGAGTTTCCGCCTAAAGATCAGCTGTTAGGTTTCAGAGATGAATTGAACCCAAACGTCTTAAAGGCGGTAATTTGTTGTTTGAAGTTAAACATCCCGCCCTTTTTCTTTTCTAAAAATTATCCCTACCACTTCAAAATATTTATATTTTCTTCTGTTCATATTAAATTATTTTCAATATAAAATCTGACGCCGTGTAATTTTTACTAAGAAAACATAACACAAAAATTCGTAGAAAATACACATTTTATCGGATTTTTATCGATTAGTCAAATCGAATTTTTAAAATTCGGTATTTTTATCAACGCAAATATAATTGTAAGGGTCAGTGTCAATCCTAACAACATTACTATTTTTAATGAGGGGGAGAAATGCTACAAATAATTGAAAAAGCAATGATAAGCTGTAACTTGATAGCAGCGCGTAGTCGGATCCTGTGCTACCGGTCTTTTGCCACAAAGCTAACAGAACATCAGACTGCGATGATGGCGCGCGGTCTTCCCAAACAAGCCCCTCTACCCGGCGTACGGGATATAGTTGTGGTGGCTTCCGGTAAAGGAGGCGTGGGCAAGACCACCGTGGCTGGCAAGTTATACGACTCGTTGATCAGTTAAGTGGATTTCAATAAATCGTACGTCACTTGCAGTGAACTTAGCTGTAAGCATGGCAAGAATGGGCAAGCGTGTCGGGCTTCTGGATGGTGACATTTTCGGACCAAGCATACCACTAATGATGAATTTGCATAGCGAGCCATTCGTAAATGACAAAAACATGATGGTGCCACCACAGAACTATAACATCAAGTGTATATCCATGGGCATGCTGACGCCACCCGATGGCGCTATAATATGGCGTGGACCGATGGTTATGTCCGCCATACAACGCTTACTTAAAGGCACCGATTGGGGCCCGTTGGATATGCTAGTCGTTGACACTCCTCCGGGTACAGGAGAAGTACATCTGTCGTTGACACAACATGTGCCCATTGCAGGTGTCGTACTTGTAAGCACTCCACATGCCGCTGCAATGGAAGTGACGCTGCGCGGTGCACAAATGTACAATAAATTTAAAGTGCCCATCTTTGGACTCGTTGAGAACATGCGATATTCAATCTGCTCCAATTGCAACCAGCGTATGGAGTTGTTTAAAGACCCAGAAGGCAAATCCTTCAAGGGGTTGCCCGACACACTAGTGTCGCTGCCGCTTGAACCGATTATAGCCGAATGCTGCGAGTCTGGCGTGCCCGTTGTCATTAAATATCCAGATTCTGAATATGCCAAATGCTTTACCAACCTCGCGATGACTATAAGCAACATGCTGACACAACGTAAGCAAACGGCAGAAGCGGCGAAGGATGATGTTAGGAAACTATCTTAATGTATATAGGGATAGCAATAAAAAATGTTTTTGTTGAATATATATTACCAGTTGCATTATTTATGTTTCTTTAATTTCTTCATTTTCTTCATAGCCTTGCGATGAGCGTATTTGTTTGTACGTTGAAGTACTTCATTGTATTTTCGTTTGTTGAACTTCTGGAACGCCTCATCCTCTAGCAGCTCATCAACCAACGTCTTCTTGCTCTTTCGAGTATTTCTTTCGCTGTAGTGATCCAGAGGCGAGTGCTGGACAGTGCCAATTTGGAAATACTTGGGCAGCACTTTCAGATCGTTCTTCTTGTAGAAATGTTTAGGATCTAGGACAGAACGCATTTGTATGATCTTCAGCTCGTTTCTCATCTCTTGATTTACTTCGGTGGCGGGCAGATCAAACCAGCCACTACCCTTGGTTTTTGCTCTCTCCGCCTATAAGAAATTATACATTGTTAGCAGCGGCTTATAATACACAAAAGAAAAACATTTAAATGTATTATAAATCAGATTACTAAAGACGTCGTCAATGTTGCATTGACGCACACCTCAGCAGCTGCTGTTTAACGGCAATAGCATCGAGCGTTTCATTAAAGTATATGTGGAAGTATATGCCAAAGCGTAAATTATCTGCCTTGGTTTAACGGCAGACAACAGTCTCAGTCACTGGCGTGTTGTCTATGCTTACTGTTCCGCTGGCCTTACAGCAACCGCCGAACACTTTCAGGCGGCCGCTAAGATTACAACGGACGAAACTGAGATGCTATTGTCTATGGCTGAGTCTTGCCACAGGAGTGCCTCAAGCAGTGTGCGCCATGCTTTTACTCTACGGTATGTAGAGTTTCGGGTGTCGAATATGTCATCATTTTTAACAATCTAAAATGAAATTACCAATGAACGGCAAATTAACTTACTCGATTTAATATACGCTGTTTCCGTATGGGAACTCTGGGTAGAGCTTTTATCTGTTCAAAGCCCGGCACGTGTCGCGTGTTTTGCATGTGTTGCTTCACAAGCGATTCACGCAAATCCAACTCCTCTTCCATCTTGCCAGTTTCCTCATTGAAGCCACTGGTGTCGACTGCGCCAGCGGCACCACGCCTACGGTTTTGTGGTGTATTGCGTGTGTATGTATTATCAGTTTGCAAAGCCACGTTTAATTGCTCAGAAACTGCGGCCAGTTCCAGGGCCACTTTTGAAGTTTTCTTGCTGGCTGCGGTTTGCACGGAGGCGACAGCTTGGCTAATATCTTTGCTTGATAATTTAACCCCTGTACAGTTTAAATACATATTTATATTTTAACTCAAGTGAAAAGAAAACGAATATTAATACGAATTACAAAAAAATTCTAAAGCGCCATCATCTGCATTCTGACCAACATTGTGGTTTGTTTCTGCTTCACTCAGTAAATCCTTTTCATGAAATACATTGCTATAGAGTGGGACAGAGCTCTTGGCTTCACCAAGTAGCTGTTGATCACCCTTTGTGTCCAGCATAAAAAGCGAAGACATCTTGTGTGGAATAATAAAATGCCGAATTATAATTTAGCAACTACCGGACTTCAGCATGTGGACGTCTGAGAAAAATGTCTTTTTTTCTCAGCCCTGCACGACGCGCTGTAATTTGTCGTTATGCAACACTGTTTAAGTGACAGCGCACAACGTGCTGTTTTTTTGGGCTCTTACGCAGATTCATTAGCGAATTAGTTGAATATCAGTTGAGGTGTTAAGGATAATGAACATTTTGCAACGATCGGATTGTATGAAGTGTATTAGGAGCGGTCTTATTCATAGAATATTGAACTAAAATATGTTTTAGTTGTGGTCAACAAGAATCAGAGAGCAACTGCTTACGTTATCAGTGCAACTTGCTAGGAATTGCGCATTATAGAGAAATAGCAACAGTCTGATTTTCCTTTAACTTGTATCCGTTGAATTATGTCTGTTTACACGACAAAGACGGGCATTACGTCCATACTGAAACCTGTAAGCACAGCAGACCGGGAGCGTGCCAAGACAGCAGCCCTAAACAAGGTGCGCTTTGCCACGCCAAAAGAAAAAGGCCTCATCGCATCGGTTAATGCGGCCCTAAACAAAAACGATTTCAACACAGTTAAAGAATTTACATTCTTTCTACGCGAAGCACAGTTAAGCGTAAGTTTTGGCAGTTTAAAAATCACGGAAATATTATGTATTATTTTGCCTTTTTTAGGATGATGAAGTTGTGACAATTATGCAAGATGCACGCAAAATTGTGCATGATCTCACATCACAGTTTGCTAACGTTGTAGAGGCCCTGCTGTCGTTGTCCTGGAAAAAGCGCAGCAAAGAAGCAGTGCAGGCGTATATTGAATTTAGCATAGATGTCATAGTTGCTCACAATACTTATATACACATGGGTGTGCAAAACCTGATCGTCAACTGGATTCCAGGCGACCAGGATGCTGATTGGATCCTCGGTTGCCCGTCGGAAAGTGTACGCGAGGAGCTGGAAATTGTGCACGCTCTACTAAATCGCATTCTCACAGCAGTGCCTATGGCAATGGATGTAGTCTTTGATGCAATAGCTGCCAAATTTCCCTACTTTAAAAGACCTGCACATGTTACGGCTGGTTTTCTGTACAATGTGCTACGGCTCATAGAATATAAGCCAGTTTTTGAGGAGGTGCTCTTGCAGCTGGTACTGCAGAAGTAAGTTATTGTTTGCACTTTAAATTATGAACCTAGTATCTAACTTTCTTTTTAGACTGTTAGTATTAGACGTGAATGCGCCACGGGACGAAATTGATCTCGATGAGGAAACTGATGATGAAGACCAAATGGATGAGGATCATATGTTTCACATGGAAGACCTCCCAAACGCTGGGTCAAAACCGGTTCAATGCATGAAGCACCCCATTGCACAAACATTGGACATATGTCTAATGAGACTTTACAAGTTCCTGGAAAATAAATGCCGTCCCGTACGCGACTCCACGGAAGAAGATCGGTGTTCTAAAAATCGTTTTTTCAAGATGCTGTTGAACATTTTCGAGAATGTGCTGCTTCCCAGCCACAACACTCATCACGTCCAATTCGTAATATTTCACGTCTGCAGCTTCAAGCAGCCGTATGCTGAATCGTTCCTCTATACGCTGTTGCAGAAGGTTCAGAACCCTAACATGTCAGCTGTTATACGACATGCGGCCGTCGGCTACATGGCCAGTTTCCTGGCACGTGCCAAGTACGTGCCATTAAAGTGAGTTAAATGTACAATAGGGTAGTATTGCCCTTAAGAATTTATAAAAGCGGCTAAATTGATTCTTTTGCAGCACCATCACTTCATATCTCAAGGAGCTTTGCAAATGGGCACATACCTATATAGACGACAGTGACGAATACAGTCAAAACTGTACCCTTAAAGCCAATATAGTGTTCTTTTCGGTTTGTCAAGCTATTTTCTATCTAATAGCGTTTCGAGCTCGTGACCTCACTGCTAGCCCTAAAAGTAAGGTTATCTTAAATTGTTCATTGAGACATTACTGAACTTCTCTTTTTTTGCTTAGACTTGCTCTTTTTGCAGTCCTTGCAGCTCTCGAGGCTGGCAATGTGCCATTTTAATCCGTTACGGTACTGTCTACAACCAGTTGCCACCGCTTTTGCTGGTGTGATGCGTACTCACCAATTGGCGTACTGCCACACTGTTTTAGAGCGGAATGCACGACGCAAGTTGGCCACCGTTTATGGCTATGACAAGGCTCTACCAGAGGAAACTCTCGAGACATTCTTTCCATTTGATCCTTACTTGCTGAAATTGTAAGCTTTTTTATTTTAGATCATAATTGTGCGAATTTGCAATTATTTGATCATTTCGAAATTATTACAAATATCATATTCTTTACTTCCTGTAGATCGAACGAATTCATCGAACCAAACTACTTGGTGTACAAGGTGCATGAGCTGGAGGAACCGTCCGAATCGACAGTATCCCAGGTCTTGAGACGGAAGCGTGGCGACTCAGAAATGCAAGAGATTGATGATTTTATTCTTCCTTCGGACAAACGACAAAAGCTCAGTGAGCTATCTAAAAGTCAAGAGTTCGACAGGCAGTTCCATTATGGGACCTCTCCAGGTTTTAATGTCTAACATAACAGATACAACATGGGGGACATGAAGCTGAAGACTATATGTTAATGTATTATAACCTAGTTTATATAATTTGTATTGATCATTGCAATGTACATTAAATGGAGCAATTTAAAAATTGTTTTATTAGTTCAGTATTCCGACTTTACTTTTGTGTCGTGCGGCTCGCATATGTTCGATATGATGACCCGATGTGCGGAATGTTTGATGGCACACTTCGCATTTAAAGGGACGAGCGCCAGTGTGTAGTCGGAGGTGCAGTTGCAAAGCTGTATTAGAAGAGTACGATTTTCCACATACCTGACAGTTCACAACTGGGCGCTGACTCTGATGCGTTTGCATATGAGCGGTCAGCGTTGATTTTAATGTGAAGCGTTTTTGGCACACGCTGCAAGAGTGTGCTTTTAATCCTTTATGGATGCGCAAGTGTCTAGTGAGATCACTTGGTTTTTGAAAGGTTTTACCACAGTACTCGCAAGTTTTTCTTGACAGCACCCCCGAGCTTTTATTGCCATGTGCATTCGTCGTTGGCTCGCCGTCGAGCAAATGTCGCAGATGTGTTATCATGTGAGAGCGACAATTAAATTTGCGTGTGAAGTGCTTTGCACAATAGACGCACTTGTAGCGCCTTCCCAATATGTTCAATTGCTTCATGGGTTGGGGTTGAGGGAGCAAGTGAATAAGGCCGGAAAGCTCACTGTCAGGTTTCACTTTCCTGTGCTCGTTGTATGCTGCTTGGACAGAAGCGTTATGCTGTTCCCTTAAATGGATGTACAGATCTTGTTTTCGGCTGTAACTAGCGATACAAAGGTGGCAGGCGTTTTGCTTAGAAGCTAAATGCAGGCGCTTTTTGTGTTCGTTTAGCTTGGCTTGCGTTGAAAAAAGTTTAAAACACATACATGTGTAGGGTCTCTCTTTGGTATGTGTGCGCCTGTGTCTGCGAAAGAAATGAGTTATTCAGAATATTTAAATTAAATATTAACATAGGCGCTTATGTATGTGCATATATAAGTACTCATACCTTATGAGATCATAACTCTTGGCAAAGTCCTTGCTGCAAAATTCACAAACATAATAAAAAATGTTTGGTCCTCGTCGGATTTTTTGCGCAGTTATGAATTCAATTTTGCCAGTAGGATTCAACTTGTCCTTAAGCTGTACAAATTGACACAGGCGGCTCTCTTCAAGTGTTTCTTGTATTTTTGGTGGAGGAATCTCTGACTGTGCTATGTCATCATTTGTGGCTAAAATTTTCATGCCACTTTGCAGCTGTTTTAGGGCGGCAAGCGCATGTTGCGCCACCTCATGTACTGCATTCTCTTCGTTGGTTCTTTCCGAGAAGGCGTTATCAGTTGTTGGTACTAATGCACGGCCAGCATGTTTGAGGTGTTGATGTCTCTGCAGAGAGCTCTTTTGTGAAAACTTACTCGTGCAGTTAGGGCACTATGTGAAATTCTATTGTGTAAAAACATTTAAATTGAAAACGGGAACACACTTACTGGAAAAGGCTTCTGCTTGGTATGCACGACTTGGTGACGAATCAGATGTTGAGGTTTGATAAATTGTTTGCCACAATTGACGCAGGTGTTGGCAGAGTTTAAAACTTTATCCAAATCCATATACATATCAAATTAAAAATTTGTTTTGTTCAATGTATTTGTTGTTTGGTGTCAAATTTTAGCACTGCCATATGATTATGCTTGCACGAAAGCACTGCTATATAATTATGCTTGCACGAAAGCATGACACATATAATTTATTGAATTGCACCGAACTCAGTACTCTAGAATAAGCAATCAATGAATCTAAGAAATTAAAATATTACAAATAAAGAACAGCTTTTTAGACGGTATACATACATACATACTTACCACACGTTTAAATTGTCGTATTGAGTAAATCAGCTGATCGTCATCTGTTCCATACAAAATGTATTTGGCATTTTAGAGAATCTAAAAAAATGTGCGCAACTTTAGAAATAATTATGCACAACCCACTAATACACAATTAAAAATGTAGCAGTTTCGGTTTCCTTTTGTCTATTCAGTTGCTCCTACTAACAATTCCATTCAACTAAATCAAGCGGCAAAATAAATGCATTTTTGAAATAAATTGAATGCAAGACTGAAATCAGCATTTACCTGGCATAGACACAAACCCAACCAGGAATGCACTTTACTTAATTGCTTACTTTGACTTTGTATATAGAATTAATTTCTATCATCTTATTCAGAATCTACCATTCCACACAATTACAAAATAAGAGAGGAATGCTAGAGTCGAGTGGGCCCAATTCTTAAATAAACCGTACCCACTCGCACATAAAATGTTTAATATTTTTCAAATCGATTCTTCATACTGATCAAGAATACGATATTTACATTGTGGGGATGGCAAGGAGGCGTTCTGCGTAAAATACATTCGCCCCAAACTTGTGTACAAGGTATAATAAAACAATCTCATAACATCAGATATTTAGGAATTTGGTCATTAAAACTAAGACCACAATCGACTGTTCCCTGGAATTACCTGGCATACTTACAAACCCACCCAGAAATACACTTTACACAGAAACAAATATACTGTGACCATATAGAAATCAATTCTATTACCGCATTCAGAATCAATCACTATACACAATTACAAAATCAAACACCCACATAACTTCAGATATTCCAATAATGCTTTATGCTATGAATTCATATGGAATTGGTGCAAGAGCGATGGGTTCCTCGAGTTTCTTGACGAAATGCGCCTTCTTTGGCTGTTCTGGCTGACGTTTCAGGTTAACCCAGGTGCCCTTTGCCTTGGCGTCCTTCAGCAGGCGCTCATTCTCCTTGACACGTCGCAGGAAATCCTCACGGCACTTCGAATGATGGACATGCTCGATGCGCACGTTGACGCGCTTGGCTAGGATCTTGCCGCGCACACGTTTGTTTACAATGACGCCAACAGCGTGTTGCGTTACGTTGAATATGCGGCCTGTCTTTCCGTGGTAGGCTTTGTATGGCAAGCCCTTTTGCACAGCGCCGTTTCCCTTGATGTCGACAATATCGCCGATCTTAAAAACCCGCATATATGTAGACAGAGGGATGACACCGCGCCTGCGGAAGGGGCGAGAGAACATATCTCTGGTACCGCGACGATAACCCTTCGAATTAGTCATTTTTATAGCTGCAAAAACAATCACTTTTTGTTAAAAATCTATAGTAAAACTATGGGCGCGGCCCTTTATGTATAATTAAAACGCATTTGTTTCATTTTTTTATACGTTTTAGAAACAATTTGCTAACCTTTTACGTATGAACGTCCACGCGGTCACGAAGAAAGAACAAGAAAGGGCTGGAGCTGGGAAATACATCGATTTCAACATTGCTATATCGATGATTGGCATTATTGAAAACATCGATAAGCGCGCTAAGGCAACACTTGGAGCAACCAAACCAATTACAGTTTTGGAAGGTAATTTTTCCTAAATCAGAGATTTAAACCTGAGCCTACTCTGAAAGAAACTCGCATAGTGGAATTCCAGGCCCTCTAGGAAAGAAATGATAAATACTTTAAATCTGTAACCAGGCAAATCATAAAAGTGCCAGCAACATCGTAGGCACCTGCGCGGCAAAACTGGTCAAATTGTCAAACACTCTAGGAGATCTTAATATGTAATACAAGCAGTAAATAAATTGGTATTTCTAAACAAAAATGTTAAAATTACAAAGACCAAAAATTCGCTTTAAAACATCGATGATTCTATTTCCAAATATCGATGTAGGTAAATGATGTTTTCACAGCATTAGTGACAGTTAGTATCGATGACACGAAATATCGAAAAATGTTATATTGTTTTATTTATCAAAAATACTAATTTGTAAATTTGAATTTTGTGTCGCGTCGACCGCTCTTGTGCTTTACTGCTCGCGATCATGACAATTTAGTTGTAAAGGCCTAAAAAACCTGTGGCGGGTTGATATGGTCATGGCCTGAATTGAACTTGCCCGATTACTTCCAGAAGGAAGCATTCGCCTGCGAGGGAGGTTCTAAAACAAGGACAATAAAAAAGCATTGCTGGTGCTTGCAAATTATAGTAATATTTTAATGGATTAATAAACCGGTTTCCCAACCGATCTTCAACTCCCGGAAACAATAAGGACCAACCTAGTATGTGGGACTGCAAGCAGCGGTATCAAACCAATTCTACCTTTCCTGGCTGCCTAATTTCATAGCGACAGAAGTTAAAGGTACAAAGGGTATATATGTAAGGCAGAAGCATTTCCTACCCCACAAAGTATATATATTCTTAATCAGCATTAGCAACCGAGTAGTAAAAAAAAAATAATAATAACAATTGTATATATTTAATATTTATTTATGTTAAATATGAATAATTACGTTTTTTTAAGCTAAAATATTCTGTTTCAAAATTAAGTGCTGCTGTTTTTTTCCACGGGTACTGTAATATATTTAGCATTTTATTAATGTCTGTGAAAATATGTGCTGCCCCATACGTAATCCAATGGCCTCACAATTAAAAGGACTCCCAAAATTTGCCTACATAGGTACCGTTTCTATGTGATTACCTCCGACTCATTCATCCACATACAAAGTCGTAATCATTCTAAAACGTAACCAAAACAGTGGTCAACTGCTCCCAACGCCCCTTGCCCTTTGTGTTAGCGGAATGCACTCACAGCATTTGAGTAACAACGCCTGCAGCCGAGGCGCTCCAAATGCCATTTTGGAATCTGACATTGAGACCTCGCAATGCAAGTTGCACTCAAAACACGACGTCTGTGCGTGTGTTCCACTTTATTGCCAAAGCGTACCGAGCGCCACAGCGTATGCAACACACAGCAGTTGCTTGCTCACATTCAACCGCCATTCGTGTTTTATAGTCACAGCGGACGGGCGCTCACTAGTTCTTTTCTGCTATTATTGCTTTTGTTTATTAGTGCGTGTCTTGGGTTTTCAATCGAATTTTCTGTTAAAAGTGAGACAGTGGACGGCCAAGAGCGAGAGAGTGAAAGACAGGGAGAACGCCAGAGTCGAAAACATAATTTAATTAAAATTTACTTACACCCATACAAACACATCGATACGCAGCGCACTGCCAACTAATCACATTACCAGCCCAACTTACGGACAGTCAGCCCGCAGCGAGAACGACGAGTGCTTTTTGTGTTGCATATATATTTGGGCTCGGGCTATTATCGTATTAGCAACTAGACTTTTGCAGAGTGGCAAATTTATTATTTATTTACTTGACTGGTAAGTTTTCTTTTACTCATCCTAATTTCTTAAATCTTGGAATATATTGTGAATAAAATACTATATAGGTGCGATCTGTCCTGAATGACTATCATTAAAGGCAGGAAATTAGAACAAGCACTTTTGTTTCGTTTAGGTAAAACCGAATTCCTGCCTACAATACAAGTATTTAACACCTATTACGCTCTTCCGAAAAAAAATGCATTCTATGAAAACTTAAAATTATTAAAATTTTTTTTGTTTTCGTACATACTTTTTGTTTTGACTGAAAATTTCGTCAACAATTTGCTTAAGTTTGGTCAATTTTTGTATACAACTCAGTAAAAAAAAAGTTGCTGACATGTCCTATACGAGTATGTATAATTATTCATTGTCTCGTAAAGTAATTGCTACTGGCACATATTTCAATAATCAACTATCGGCACGCATATCTGCGGTTAGTAAGAAGCACGTAGTCAGTAAAAATGATTACATAGTTCACTAATTGTGCCAATTCGAATTTACATCGAGGTTCTGAGCGGTTTTAAATGTTTAAATGTATCTGTATTCAATTCATTGGCAGTTACGTTCTCCTGATTAAATATATATACATCACACTTTCTTTAACAATAATGATTAGAAATGTTTGCTTTGAAACCGACCGGATTCGTAATAGGCACAGAGTCTATACCATTTATCATTTCGTAAAAAATTACAGACCAAACTTTGCAAGGGTTTTTAAGAAAGAAGGTGGTCGTTGCTAATGTGTCACTAAAAATGCGCGTTATGTGCATAATACCACTTTCCTTTTCATGACTCAATGACCTCTACAACATTGGATAGCGATAGTGTCAGTAACACCCTCAAGCACTTTCAACGACTCTTGTTATCCCTATCGCCTCTGTATGTGTATACACGTATAAGTAGTATGTGTGTTAGCTTATTAATATTAGTTTGAAGTGGTTTTCAACTAGCAAAAGTGAAAAAATATAAAAAAGCACGCAGTGCATAGACTGTCTGAGTAACTCCCCCTGACACTTCAAAGTTCGATTTTTTTATCGAAAATTGGCGTGAATACAACACAGAAAATTGCGTGTAGAAACGTTTTAGCATTTAAAAACATATTCTGCTGTTTCAAAGAAGTTTTATAAAATATTATTAAATTATTGTAGCTATTCATTTGTCTTGAGATATACATTCAATATATGCAAAAGTTATTCTACGCTCAATAACATAGAAAATGGTAGACAATTTTTTAAGCCATAAATTGCTTGTGCACATACATATCTGGGCAGGCTCCTCAGGCGAGAAAGTCTGGCGTCGTTTCGATTGGTGCTTTGCCAGTTGTTGTTGCCCGTGTATCATTGAAATTGTATATTCTGTACCTGAAAGGTACAGGAGTATATTGGGTTTATGCAAAGTGAAAAATGTAACAGAAAATGGCGTGGCAGATCCAACATAGTATATACTTAAATGTTTTCGGCATAGCCGAAGATTATTTCTGCTACTATACATTTCCATGTTCAACAAATTGGATTAATTCACACATTTGCATTCAACGATTAAAATGCTTTTTAATTTTTAACAACATCCTTTGATATAAGTGATTCATTCATCAGTCTGTGTAGAGATATTAAAAACGCAACATTATGCCAACCTTGCAAATTGAATGAAATCGCTTCAGGCCTATTGATCGGCTATTCAATAGTTCTATCGTTGTTTCTGTACATGACGCTTCTAACAAGTTTCACACAAAAGCATTGTTCACCGTTTCCAACCGTCGAAAGATGAAATGTGCATTTCTAAGGCTACCTGCCGAGCACTGAATTTATAGCATTGTATTGTATTTACCTTCAGCCCCGAACGAAGCGCTTTTTGTGTTTCAATTTAGTTTGCTGTTTAGTACTTGTTTCAAAACTAAGAAAAACCTGTGTGCAATTGAATTTTTACTGTACTGAAACATTATAATGAGCTTAATAGAGAGACATTGAGTTTATGAATAAACTAATGGTCATGTAAAAAAAAACGCAAATGTTGCCGTGGGTTGTTTTTTACATTCAGCAATTTTTTGACTATGTTTGCTTGGATTGTAATAAAACTATTTGGGGCAATTAAAGCGATTACAAATTTGGCTGAAGAATTTGATTGAGTCAATTGAAAGCTATAAAGATTAGATAACATTACTAAATGTCAACTTTATTGGAGAATTGTAACGAAAATTAATATTAAGTAATGACTCTTATGAATGTGCTACCGTATCTGTCGAAAACCTACTTGCTCTTTTTATACCCTGTGCCCAGATAGCAACCCAGGCCTTACAAAGTATATATATTATTATATCTATAGTTCTAAATTCTCCCAAGTCATACAATTATTTTAAAAATTGAAAGCAAAATACAAGGTGCGAATATCTATGATTTAATTGAAGAAACTATGGAAATGAATGCATTTAAAAATATATATTTTATATCTTTAACAATAAAAACACATATTTGTTTGAACTAATAATAGTACTGGCTTGTCTGACCCTTACTTAATGTAACTTAACATTTCCAGCGGCTTTTTGCTCAACAGAGTTGGGGTTTATGTCTAAGCTAAATAACAGCCACTGCTAAAATAGACTTTCTAGCATGTTTATGTGTTTATTTTCTCAGAATTACTTATGAATTGTTAAAATATATTTTAAACTAATAAAGTTCACAGTGTAATCGATATGTAATAAATACTTTTTCTTCAGAATTATGATTAAAGAATTTATGGCAGTGTTCGCAAACTAATACACATTTCCGAATTCGTATAACAGTCTGTATTGTACAACGATAACAATAATTTCTGCGCAATGTTTGTGATGATATTATCTACTGTACCTTAGTGATAGGGGATATTGCTTTTCAAATGACAGTTTGTTACACATAGATTAAATTTTATGCTAAGCAAAATTTATACCAATAACTTAACTACCACGCTATCAGAATGAATCGATAAAGCCATAAGAGAATACAATTTTCGACCAACCGAATTATTTGTACTTGCATTTCAACAATTTATTTAAGAAATGAGATGTTAGCAGTGTTTTTTTTTATTAAATTATTATATTAGTTATGCCTGCCATACAGTATGCTTTGTTTTATTGTGGGCGCGCCCTTTTTCTTTACTGCAAAATCCACACACATATCCTGTAAACAGTAAACCGCCCTTAAAGCTGTAATGTTAAATGCTACGTACTCCAAGGCTCTCACATTTATGTTTATTGGCGCTCTTTTTCGCCTCTCTGTTATAAGTTTTTGCAACGCGCAGTCGCAATTTGATGCTATAAATGAGACGAAAAGCTTATTTGTGCATAGCATTTAATGGGGATGTTTAAGAGTAGACATCATGTATCCCGCATACTCCAGCCAAGGCAAACCCTGGGAGCAGTGCTAAGTGTTGCCGCCTGCCATTAGACTGTGCAGCCATTCTCACAGATGAGAGTTTTATAGCAACCTTCGGAGCTGCAATTTTCTCACACGTTTTTGTCTGCTCTTTTGCACTTTGCAGGGGTGGTATGTGGATAAATTTTAGCCGCCATGGATCCCAGTGCTCTACAAAACATGGATCGGGACGCATTAAAGAAGCAAATCGAAAATATGAAATATCAGGCCTCCATGGACCGTTGGCCGTTGTCTAAAAGCATTGCAGAGTGAGTAAAAAAATTTACAATTTTTTTTTCACTTTTTTAATGTAACAAAATATTAAGATAAATTAAAAAGTAGCTATCTTGCAAATGTTCTTCGAAAGTTATTTTTCAATAATGTTCTTCAAGTTTTAAACAACATTCTAAAATGAAATAAATCTATGAAAAGTTCTCGGCAAGTGACTCTGGCATTTAGCAGCCAACAAATTGGAAACATAATAAAAACAAAACTTTGCGTTGCTATTTTGTATGTATGTGCAATCAACCACCCTTCACAGTCGCCGCTAACAATGTGTCCTTTGAGCTGCACTCCACGCTATCCAAACGACCCCGCTTTTACCAGCATTGTACTGGGTGTTTAGGCCACTAGGCACTATATAGAAGTGAAATATTCATATACTTGTCACCGACTGACGCTCTTAAAAACGACACCTGAACATTAAGAGACAGCATAGCCCCTACCTCAGACATACGTTGAGTGCCTGAGGAAAATATTTACATAAATATGAAATTTGTTTTTCTTTGTGAAAAGAATTATGGTGTAAGTAAAAATACATAAATAAATAGTTACAAATAGAAACTACAACTTGTCAAATGAAGGGTTCCATTCTTTGTGAAAACGATTTGGCCTTTGCATTTGTATCTGAAAATCCAGAGCAATTATATTACCACCTCCTTGGTAGAAAAGGTATTTAACAGATGAAATTGCCCTTACTGTGATCTGGTTATTTTCTTCAGTTTAGATTTAATTCAAAAATAGCCACAGATCCTTTTTCAAAGTAAGTGATGCGGTGATAAGGTTATTTTCTTCAGTTTAGATTTAATTCCTTTATCAATGCAAGTAATAATATAAAGAGTCTAATTTATTTATTTAGGTCTGTGCATTAATATGAATAATAATTTGAAGCAGATCTTTTCCGTGTATGCAGAATATTCACAATAATATAACTGAATAGGCATTAAACAAAAACTTGTGTTCTCCAAATTTGCAGTAAATCGGATAATTGAAAATTGTAATTAGTACACTAAATGTATTTTTGAGGAGTTACTTGAGGTACAGCACTTCTATTTAGGATCAAAACCTGAAACTAAAATGCTTGATTGACATGCAAATTAGGCCAACCCCATGCTGCATGGTGCACACGATGGGAGCTCGTGTCGCTCCCTTTGGTGGTCAATTGTTGATAGTGCAGTTAACTGCATCAGACCCCATATACTCATGAAAAGGCAACTCGTTTTTTAAGTATAATGACTAGCATCAACTTCCGACATTACATATTGGATTGATTGACACAGCCTGCGAGGTGGTATGCCTCTCTAGTTTCCTCCTATACCAACAATATTGCTGTGTGACAGCCTTAACCACTCTTTAACTGTTATTCATGGTTTTGTTTTATACGAGTTTTTTGAGGGTAAGAAGACACGTCTTTTTTGCAATTACGAATAACATTGAGCATGCGGTAGCAAACTTTTAGTTCAGTTCACTTTTCATACACTCGATGAAAAAGTCCTCTTTCAATTTTAAGCATTTCACTTTGCCCCAATACTTCAATGTTTTGTGTAACTTTGCTAAGCCGTTCCTGCGGACCCAAGTAGCAAATAATAAAGCAATAAAACAAAAAGGACGTGCAAGTGTTGAATTTGAATTCGCACTACACAAATAAAAGTTTCGTGAACCGTGCCCCCCCCACTTTAAATTGTCTACTCATGGAAATTCCTCCCTCTAACTAGTCCAACGGTTGTCCCTCATCTGATAGGCTTGTAATTTTTTTCTGTGAGTTTAAATACTTGTAAAAATTCAATATCTTAAAGTTATCGTTATGCTGCAAAATCATAAAATTTATAGCAGAATTTTCCAAACCTCAAAATTCGTTTCATAATTACGTGAATTCTGGGAATAAAATTTTGCATGTTTAATGTTTTTAATACCATTCTATGCGTTTAACTTTCATATTCAACTTAGTTTCTTAGCATATATTAAAACGAACTCAATTTTTATCAACAGTCTGCGCCTTGTTATTGCGGGCTGCGGGCGTTTGGCCCAAATGTTAACTAGGTCAACGAATGTGCAACGTTGAGCTGTATGTAGGTACAATTTAAGTTTTCCATAGATTTAACTGTAAGCCTATTAATCCTCAATCATTTCAAAGTTTATACTACTTGATCTCAAATGCAACGGCATATAATAAGCATTATAATCAAATTATTAGAAGTGGGCTCTTAAGGGGATAATTCCCTGTTTTCAAAGTATTACCTTGCTATCTATCATAATACAAATTCAATCACATACTTATACAGATAGGCCAACGTGGCTAAGATCCCTATTCTCAAACAGTGGCATTTAAAAAGATGTGCCTTAATATACACAGTTTTGCGTGACCCTTTTGCCTCCAACTTAATACTTTTGTTAAGCTTAATTCTCAAAAATGCATTCATCTCAGTTCTTGATCTGACCTTTTCGCCTTACCTCGTTTTAATTTTTTAAATTGTGCTTGCTCGCAAAATATACATACATTTTAGTGATTTTTGCACGTTCTGCCGACCCACTCGAGTACGAAGGCAGACAAAGCAAAGAGACAAAGACGTGGCATAACACAAGTGCAATTTTAATGTTAAGTGCTCGGAATGACTTTTGCAGTAATAACGTTTTGATGTCAAGCTCAACTCATGCCTATTGTCCCTTTTGGGTACCTCTAGGAATTTAATTTAAATAGAATGTTCTTGAACTCAAACAACCCAGAACATGTAGGGCACATTTTTAGGAAGGATTTCGAAGAACAGTCAAAATCAATCAAAACTGCTCTTTTTGTATGATATTAAAATGTAGTTTATTTAGGAAATCATAAATTTTCCAAGGATTTGTCATGTAAAATAAAAGTTTGATTTATTTTTGGGTATTTTAAAGCACCTTTATCCTTTTAAAATTTCATTAACCCTAAAGTGTCTATTTCAATCAGTACTCCTTACTCAGGCTTAGTTCGTCAGACATGTTGCTATTGCATACATACTCGTATAAAATAGTAGGAATACTTCCAATTAAATTTTTTTTGAATTATTATTTGTAAAAATCAAACATCTAACTGGATACGTGGTGCAACTTAGATTTATATACATACTTATTACCAAATTCCATTAAAGCATAGGAAATAATTAAACCTCAATGGGATTTTAAGTGATTAAATAGATTGGCATGAGACGTTTTAGTCTCACGTATAGAATCGATGAAGAAGACCCCTTAAATGCTTCTTCTTATGGATACTTAGGTTCTGTGTAGTTGTTGTGTTCTTCTTCGCAATCATATTATATACATAAGCATCCTTACAGCGGATTGACTGAACAATTGAAAGAAAATCCTTTTTGTAGACTTTGACCTGACCTTCGATTTGAATTGACATTTTTTTTAAAAGCACATAATTTTTAAAAATGGCATGCGCATCTATACATTAAAGGCATATAAAGCAAATTACGTATTCTTAAATATTCCGCATAGAATGCCTAACGCAGGCACAAAAGTGGGCATAGGCAACGTTAAAGGAAATATAACAGCTAATGTTACGATTGTTAAATAGTTGTCAGACATTTCCATTATCATGCCTGTGATAGGAGATTGTGGGTATGTGATTATGGTTAGCAGTTTGTAGTAAATACATACATACATATTCATACTATATAGTACACTAAATGCGGCATTAACATGTGTAGTCTGACACAAGAACTATGGCGCCAAGCTGCTGTTCACATTTACAGCATTTTCTATGTAGTCGTGCAAATAAATACATATGTACTACACATAAAGAAAAGAAAGTCTGGTGTACCGACTTTGCAATACGCTGTACATTAGTGTAGAATATTTACAGCAATAGTGTATAACATTTACAGCAATTTAAAAGGAAAGAAAATGTAAAAAAAAGAGAAATCGTAATTTTAAAAAGCCATAACTTAGGTACTTGGTATCTCGGAGGAGGGTGGCAATATTTTTACAAATATATTCATTTAATTTCTACAAACATTTTTACTATTTAATTTTTTATTAGAAATTTCACTATTTATTTGTCGATGTGCCAGCGCTTAGGTACTTGGCATGAGAATTGCAGACGAGGGCGGCCACCATATTTCAATTAAATTGATCAGAAATTTCATAATTTAAATCCATATTATTATTATTATTTTCTTTTTTTTTGTTGGAAATTTGGCAATTTAAGTTTCGATTTGACATTGCTGAGGTACTGGAAAGGGTAAAAGGTGCAGAACAGAATAAGGCATAAAGGTAAGACACACAAACAAATAAAAGCATCAAATAAAGCAGCAAATGAACGGCGATATAGCGTTAATTATCCAGGGTAAGCAAGCAAATATTGCCCTGGCTAGCAACAACACATTTTTTTTAATATACAACAATTGCAAATGTAAAGCTCCTGATTTAAAATTCCACATACCGAAGTACAATCTTTACATCCCCTCGTATAACTGTTTCTTAAGATTTGGTGCGGTTTTTTAAGTAGGTGTCAAATTTATGCCTAATATTACTCTCATGTTTCAAATTCAGGCTGAAACCTTTTCGAACGCAAAGAAAGTACTGTTTTATCATGACCATAAAATTTTTACGCAACTCTATTCCAATTAATACAAATTTGTAAACCATCAACAACTTAATAAATAATGCAATATTTATTTCATCTTATCCCAACAGAATGCGGTCGTTCATAGAGGAAAACGAGAAAAACGACCCGTTAATCAATGCACCGGACAAAAAGAACAATCCGTGGGCTGAAAAGGGAAAATGTGTTATCATGTAATATTATCGTAAACCACAAAAATACCATAATAACTCTAGACAGCCAACCAACAATATAAATCCAAACATGATTCCCACATCCATAACAGCAACAAATCAATATCAAAATAATATATTTCAAAATAACCAAAACCATAGAAACAACCGATGTAGCAGTCAAAATATATCGGGAAACCAATACACTCATCAGCAGAGTGCAACTGTCAACGATAACTCCTTAGATTCGGTAGAGCTGAAACAAATACGTTGCCACAACAACAACTATTACTATTATAACTACAATCTGAGATATGACCCGGTGAACGAGTGTGTCGGGGCAATGGCCCAACTGAGAAAGCTAAAGCGACGAACGCAACAGGAGCTGCAACATTGGCCCGTGCTCATGCAGATTGTGGTGCTCTTTCTTTGGCTACACAATAGATTTTGGCAAAGTGTGCGCCAGCAACTCACGCGTCATAGGCAGTGAGTGGAGGGTGGGGCATGTCGCGAAATTTCAGTTTAAATGTACATTTAACTTATAATTTGAATAAATTACTAAAATGGCTACATAGTAAAACCAAAATACAGAACCGAAAACTCCGAAAAATCATTTTTATTACAACAACAAACATAAAAAAATAGGACGCGTTCACTAGAGAATTATGATCACCGACCACCGTTAATGGAAATGTATATTTGCGTTAACTCAAAACTATTTTAATTTGCCGTATAAGTTTACTTTAATATTTCGAGCTTTTCGTATTGATAATCGCTCATCGTTGTTGTTGTCGTCTCTCTTTGTCTTTCTCTCTCTCGCTCGCTCTTTTATGCACTGTTGTTCTTTTGTGCGTATGCTCCGCTGTATATTCGTCATCTGTTTATCTATTGCTCGATTTTCTTCCTCGCTCATAAATTTGTCTTTCCTATGCATGACTATGTTTTTGTTATTCGCACATTAACATAACTTTCCCGTATATCTTCATAGCCACTTTTTCATCTCCCCACCAGTCATTCAAACACCTATTAAGGACACCCACATTAGTCACATGACGCCCAAAATAAAAGTAACTGTTTGGCATATTTAGCTTGGATAAATGTAACCCACCCATCATTTATAGTAAACAACAAATAGGTAACAAAGTTTGCAAATAAGTTCTATGAATAATTTAAGACCATTTTGGCCGACTTAATATCAAGTACAACTCCTAGAAATGCTACAAAATAAACGTACCATACTTCTAACTGTAAGCTTACACATAAATGTACAAGTTGTACAAGTCTAAGATATGAAACACTACACACAACAAATATCCATATATTATTCCGACATCCCACTGCGAACAAGAAATAGTTCGCATAAAATTTCGACCGTTTTTGGAACATGCCGGATATTAGCAGAAATATAGTAACTTGTGTAGCGGGCCCACTTGGTACGTATGTATTGGTATTTTTACTATGCATATATCATATTAATTTTATAGTGATATACATTCTTACATATACGTAAGCATACTATTTAAAAAGGCAAACGATAACTTTTTTGAAGGCAGACGCTGTAGTTAATGGAAATATTAATGTCTTTATAAGTTTTAACTATGTTAACCATTAAATAGAGTCCATACAGCAAGAAAAAATATATATATTACACAAACATACGCAATCTTTAAAAGAACATATACAAGAAATTTAAAGTAAAATTGATCAAGAACGTAGAAACTGCAAATTTGAAATACAGCATATGTTATTTGTATTCCAATAGTTGAAAATTGAAGTGAAATAATTTAGTACCAATGCAAAATGGATCTAACCGTTTTATGTTCCGCATTAAGTTGCATATAAATTTGCAAAACAGACATAAATACAACAACATACAACTTTTTAAACTACGTGAAATATAATAGCAGAGATGCATCTGAAATAAGACGCTGTTCAGCTGGTTAAATTAAAACAGTTACGTGGGCTTACGTTGAAAAATATATTTAGTTAAACTTGTTTCTATCTATTATTTAAAATAGAAAGTGTGTAGTCGTATAAATCAGTTAAATTTAAAAGACAACAACATATGCAACACAAAACAGAACACTTACAATTCGCAAAACAGAGGTTACCCAACAACAAATATGTATGTAGTACATAAATTTAGCCAAGAAAAACGTAGCGAAAAAGAGAGCACATTTAAACTAGGTTTGAAGTATTTAAGCCTTTTATATAATATTCGAAAAATATACAGCTAAAATGTAATTATAAGTGAATCGCGCAAAATAGAAATATTTTAAGTTTGCTGCATATAAAGAACCTTAAACTAAGCAGAAAATAGAGGACCGATACAAGCGTGCATCCAAGTTAATTACCGTAGAAAACCAACGAAATTAGTACACGAAACGTAGCGCTCAGTTATGCTGCCACTTTGGACGAACGGAGAGGAGCAACTCAAGGAAACTGACAGCGAAACAATGAGCAGCAGGCGACGGGGAGGGTGGCTTTAGAAAGCAAAAAAAGAACTCAGCCAATAAAGTTCACACAAACAAATTTGTGCGACAATGCTCGAGCAAGAAGCGTAAATGTAGAGAGGAAACCATCACAAGAACTCCTAGGGAATACACTTAACTCAATATTTGTGTGCAACAAACTGAGCTACAAATGCTACACATTTGAGCAAATTGCTTAATATAACTTTGAGGCCCAAGCACATAGTAGGTGTAGCTACAAATAACACCAATTAACTTCAGAATATGAGTTCTGACGAACAACATCTATAAAATACACAAACTATATATACGAAATAAGGTATTGGTGGTTCTTAAATATATATTAAAACTTTAACACGGATAACCAATGAGAATGGACAGGGATAGCCTACTGTGGTACTATATAATCAAAATAGTTGAAATCCGGCAACGGTGCAATTAAACTCGGCGACGTTACCAAGTATTGCAGACATGCTGCATATGTATATATGAAACGGGAAAACCGGGAGTCATAATTGAAAACACAAAACAAAATAGTCAATTTTCACCGGTCCAAACTCGTCTCATACTATAATCGTGGCTGGTACGAGTTAAAGTTCAAATCAAAGTATAAAGTTCAAGTAACATTAGGAATGTACTTACAAATATTGTAAAAGCCAATTTGGCAGTCCAACAATCATAGTGGGGCATATTCTTTGTTAAGTTTATTGTGGCCAATATTCAATAGTGCCGGCCATCCATAGCTCAATAGGGCATTAAGCACGCTGAGTAGCTCGGCATGGAGCCGGCGAAATGGGTGTGAGGGTGCCATTGAAATTGAACAGGAAACCGGCCGACTTGAAGCTTGTGCTCTATAAATTGAACACAGAAGAGTCTCACTGGCTGTCACTGTCAAATGGATTTAAAAATAATAGGCAAATTAAAAAGTTTTTATAGTAAAAAAACATTCTATGAATAAACTCTTTAAAGAAAGAACATACTTTTGAGGGAAATTTGAGAAAAGATAAAAATACGAATAAGGGTCATAACTTCAGAATATTTTAAATTTTATAATCACTTCTACGGCTCTAAAATTAAATTAAAATTATATATATGCGCAATTATAAATGTAGTTATATATACATATATATATATAAATATAAAGCTACATTTATAGCGACGCAACAACGAATTAACATTTTGTGGCCACTCATAATAAATTGGCTAAGAAATGGTCATGTTGAAGTAATAAACGCGGCATGAACTCATTTGCAAAATATAGCAGTTAAGCGAGATATAAATAGCTGGTAAATAAAATATTCAAGTACAGCATGTGCCAAAAATTGCGATAGGAGGAAGGGGAGACCCATAAGCGGCAAAGAAATGCGTCAAAAGGATTACAGTTTTAGTCTACGAGAATAAGTTGATGTTACAGTTCATTGAAAAATATTTAAAACTTAATTATAATTATATGCACATACCAATTAAATATATATATATACATATACATATATGCAGCGATATAATTATGTGAATTATCTAAATGTCTGTACAAGTTGCAAGCAAAAATGTATTGTTACAATAGATGGTGTTAAGTAATGTAACTATTAAGATATATGGACATATATAGGCTTATTAAATCCGTTGATTGATTCTTAAACTTGTCTAAGGAAAAATGCGAACCTTAAATTACTCACGGTGCCATACAACAACTTGGCTGAACCAGAAACCAAATATGAGAACAATTATAAACAACATAGAACGCTAGTAAGTAAGTGAATTTTAATGCAGCTAAACAAGCTATATACATACATCATTACCAACAATTAAAAAAATAAGAATTATAAAAAAGAACTAAAACGTTACAAAAAAAAAAACAATTATTTAGATGTTAAACGAAAACTTCTAAGAAAAAACTTTTAAGCAAAAACCGTAAGGCATCAACAAAACCAAAAGTATGATTATCATTAAAGGAACTTCTTTAAATAAAAGTAAACTTTGCAAATCCTTAGTGGATAAATCTACCCTCTCTATAAAAACTTAAAAACCAAATATATCGTTTGTGTTTTATTTTAATTACTAATAGCACTTGTTGCCTGAATTGAACCTCAGCCCCCCGCCTACCCATAAGCAAGCATAACGAAACATACACTATCCAAACCAAAAGTAGGCAGGAGCTGTGGTTAAGATAATTTGGTATAGTCGATCCATGCTTTTGCTCCTGAAGTACTACATATGTGGAAGCCTTTCGTTGCCTTTGCCCTTTTTTTGGCTTTTGGTATTTACCGTTATAATTTTGTATTTTTAACAACTGCTGTAAATAATCCCGCTTTAATTTCTGCTTTATAAATTGAATATCTATGTGCTATGTATATTTGTATTTCAATTAAATTGATTTGGCATTGGTGCCCCAATGTTATCCTAATTCTTATGATTGTTTATTTCTGGCACATCAGTAATTTTCTGTAAATAAATGTTTTAAATAAGGAACGTAACGTATTTTCAAAGGTAAGACTTACATTAAGAAAAATGTCCACTTATGTTTGAACATCATAGTTTTCACCCACAAACATTTAATGGTTTTGGCAAAACATATGGGCCAATTGTCCCTGTTGTCCTTGCTACGAACTCAACCGTGAAGTTACACTTTTCGAACTGCTGCTCGTATAGACTTTTAAGGCCCTATGAAATGAGGGACTAGCGTTTAAAAACGTCCAACGTTATGATTACTTTAAAAATCCGTAGCATCTTTTGTGATGTTGCAATTAAAGCTTACTTACACTAAAAAGACAACATGGATTAAGAGTGCCGAACAAAATCCCACCCGACGATAACTACACATTTTATAGTGTGCACAAGTCTTTTGTGTTTTATGCCGCGCATATTGTTAGCTTATTAACAGTCCTCACAAAAGCTAATGAAACCCAAAATGTGGTAAGGGTGGCGGAAGTGTGGAGGAATTTCCCCGCTAACCACTAAATTCAGCGACAAGTCATTTTCATAATCAAACAAACTGCAAATCAAACACTAAAGCACAAGGCCACTGCCAACAGTTCAAAAAACAAACAGACACACAAACGGACAGACAGACTAAAAACTGCGAGCGACAGGCAAGTCAGAATCAGTGATTGCAGGA